AGTAGTTTTCAAATCCATCCTGCATCCTTGGAGGAGCAGTGATGGTGTCTCAGACTCACTTTTCAGCAAACGTTTTGTTGAGCACCTAGCACGTGTGGGCTGATGTCATGATGGAGGTGTGGACAGAGTGCAGGGGAGCTAGGGCTAGTACAGCTTCACAGAGGCTGGGTGCTGTGGCGGGCAGAGCAGAGGGCTTTAAAGTGAGGGCTCCTGAGATGGTGTCTGGCTCTGCCGTGGTTCACCAGGAGCCCTGGGGTAAGTGACTTCCTCTGAGTCTGAATTTTCTCATCTGTGCAGTTGGAATGATAACAGTACTTACTTCGAGTCATTTATGAACTTTGCAAGCTGCAAAGTTTTGAAAAATAATGTTACTTATAATTCATGTCATGAGGTCATTATTCACAGAGGCATGTCTTTCTCCCTAGAATCTTTGAGAATCTGATTTGCTTCCCTTGCTGTCCACCTGCCTCTTGTCTGTGAGTACAAAGACTTAGAGGTTAGTAATGGTCATTGATTAAGCTTATGGTGACCCCCGTCCCCCAGAGTGATGCTGAAGTTTCTGCCTTTTCCCTCGTTTCTACCACCACCACCTCTGCATGGATAGGACATTTTTGCTCAGCATCGCTTCCCCCCTGCCAGACCTCCTGGCTCTCTGGTAGAAGATACCCAGGAGACAAGGGTGGGGCAGCTGCTGCAGGGGCACGAAGACCCTGAAATCACCAGAGAGACAATATCTTCCATCATCCATCCTTCCATAATTTCTTGAATGAACGAAATCTTTAGAATTTTGTTTCAGAGGGAAGATTTTAGAGGGGTCCAGGTGCGCAAGATGTCTTTCTGGAACTTTATTTCCTCAGCAGCAAAGGTGTGGGGAGTGGGTAACAGTGTCGCTATGAATCAGCTTCTCTGGATTCTGGGGCTTGCTCTGCTCCTTACAAGCCATGCTGCCTTGGAGAAGCTGCTCACCCTTTTCAAGCCCTATTTCTTTTTGTCAAGTGGGATGCAAGAGAGTGACCCCCAGGGTTGCTTGATGACTGAAATGTAAAGCACTTGGCATGGTGTCATGCCCAGCGCACTCTGGACTGTGCTGGGATACCGACCCTCTGCCCAGCCTGGTGCTAGCAGCACAGTATTTACCAAAAGATGGGGAAACACATAGAGAAGAAGCCTGCCTTCTCCCTGATTTTCATACTGACCCAGGTAAGGTGGAAAAGATTAAAAAAAAACACTTCTCTGGAGTGAGTTGTTGCTGAAGTAGATGTCAGTTGTCCCTTTCTCTGTGTCTTCCAACAGCCAAGGCCCTGAGGAGCCTCTCCCATCCCCTCTGGTAACCAAAGTAACTTTAAGGAGTCTCTCTGGCCAGAGACCTGAGGACGCTTTATCGGCTTTGTGGATACCCCATGCCCTGGCTCTTGGATGATGACCTGGTTCAGAACTAACCTATGGAAGATTTCACCAGGCACCTTGAAAGGCCAAAATGAGAGTAATAGCCCCAGTTTCCTGCAATTAACCTGGCACCTCTCCTTTCTAATGTAATACCTCTCCCAATACCATGTGTGATTGAAGAGGTTCCTAGTACCTTCTGTGCAGGGACCTCATCTCAGTGTCTACTAGTCCAAGGTTGTCCCGCACCAGGGATAAATTTGCCCTCAGTGTTGGGCAGTGCAAGTTGTCTGAGGTTTATACAGCCCAGAGAGGGTTCCTGGGAATGTGTTGGCGGGGAAGATTATCTCTGCATGCTTTAGGCAGTGGTCTGTTCTGGCCTTCCAAGTTGTTCTGCCACTAGAAGCCGAGGCTGGGCTAAAGGCAAAAGGAGTTTGAATGATTAACCTCCTCATACTTAATATCAGGCTACTGATGTGATTATTCATATCCTACAACACTAGTCTCCTGTTGCTTTCAGAGATCTTGGCTTTGCTTTCAGGATGCCCCCCAGGAACAGAAATAGTCTTTCTCTTGGGGGTGGGAATAAATTAATCTATGCAATTATAGAATAATTAAAGTACTTTCAGCCAATTCAAGTTTTGAGACAAACCCAAAAATAACTTCTCGATTTAAATATTATTTACTAAATTAATTCTTTACTCAGCCTTTTTATAGATTCTTGGCTCCCCCCGCCACCCCTGTTAGAGAATAAAAGCATTGCATAATTGCTGAAATCACTTACATGAGTGGCACATTCTTTTTCTGTGGAGCAATGAAAAGCTATGTCGTGGTGCTGTACCATGGCTTCGTTTACAGTATGGCTTGGGTTAGCTGACTGGGTTCCCTACTGGGACTCCTTACTCCAAATGGAACATCTTGTGCGCTGTGTTGCGTGGCAGGGGTGAGGGGTGCATCTCCCGAAGTTTTTGATGCCTCTGGGAAGAGCTTCCCTGGGAGTGGAGAGGCAGGATGGCCTGGCCATTGGTAACTTGTTCTCTGGAGCCAGACCCCAGCTTCACTAACTGCTGACCAGGGGACCAGACTTCTTCCCTTTCTGTGTCTGACTTCCCTCACCATTTCCTGTAGAGGCCAGAGTGAGGGCTAAGTCAGTCAGTGCAAAGTGCCCGAGCAGTGCCTGGCAGGGCATGTTTGCTGCCACACACAGTGTTCCCTTGTTTTTGTGCAGATGCCACAGGATCCGCAGATCTGGGGCAGTGTTAGGTCCACACTTGCCTGTTCTGGACCAGGAGACATAGAGTATTATGGAAGGGGTGAGAGAGAAGGTTGTGTCCCCAGCAATGCCACCTAACTGCTGAGGAAACTTAGATCCAGACTGAGAAGGAAGGTGACTTATCTCCCAGCTCACTGGTGCCCAAAGCAACAGAATCAGGATAGCCCCAGAGTGGAGCCATTGGCAGAGGCTGGCTGCTCCCCCACCCCGCCCATCTGCCCTGGTGCGCTCTGGTTAAACAAACATCCAGAGCATCCCCCAAATGGAAGGACACCAGGCTGGATGGGGGTGTGGAAATGGGGTGGGCTGCTCTGGTGGCTGTGCTTATGTGAGTATGAACAGCAAATAGCAGTGCCCCCTGGCAGCAGAAGCTCACCCCTCATGGGCAGGGCCCCTGTCCTGATCCCCAGCCCCTAGGGGCCATCTTTCAGTATAGTAATAGGGGGCTCAGGGCGATTAGCAATATTTCAGAAGGCTTGAGGGAGATCATACATCTCCCATGACAGGTCTGCCCAGACTAAATGAAATGTCATTTCTCTCCTTTTTGGCTGGAATTCTGTCAGCTCAGTCTGGCTGCACTGCTTATCTTGGGCTGATCAGAAGCCCTGATTGGACCTTATATGAGTCCTTGACAAATAAAAATGAATGATTACTTAATAAATGCAATTGGTTTGGCAGATATAGCCTTCCAAAGCATGGCTCCATGGAGCTCCAAAGAACATAGCAAAGGAGTTTGGTGGCACAGAGATGGGGACATGCTGGCTCACTCAGGGCCAGCTCTGGCTGGGGCCTCCTCTCTATAGAAACAGAAAATAGAGACCCCAGGACACCCTATATCTGAGAACTTAACTTGGGGCAAAGTCCTGTTCCTAATGCAAATAGACACTGGGCATGGGGATGTCTGTGTCACCCCAGCAACATGGCAGGAGCCCTGTCATAGCATCTTAAACGTCTTCCTCTCTGACAAAGGTACAGTGAGACCTAGTCTGCTGCCCTTCCAGGGGGCTTATGCGGGATCAGAAACAACAACCACAGAGCGGCTTAGGAGAGGCTGCTGGGTCACAAGCACTGTGGCATTCTCATTTGTCCATGAGAGTGGCACTATTATTATTTCCATTTCACTGAAGCCGAGAACATAAGCAACTTGTTTAGGGTCACAAAGCTCAATTGAGACGTGCGGAGGTAGGAGTGAGCTGGCACAGAATAGCAGTTACTAGAAGGCTGGGGGGTCATAGCTCAACCTGGCTCGACCTTTTTCTAGCCATGGGTAAGTTAAACCTAGATGAGTCAGTTCCAGGTCTACAAAATTGGTCATAATTGTACCTACCTTTAGGGGCTGTTAATAATTTAATTTTTAAGTATTTAATTTGGGGCCAATTATAACTGATTGGGATTGAGAAGAGATTAATGGGGTGAGGATTAACATCAGAAGCAGGAACCATGGCATCTCAGGAAACATGGAGAGATGGGGGGTCTTGTGCATGTAAAATCCAGAGTCCTACATTCGCATATTTCACATGTTACAAGCAAGTGGATACCTAATAGAGCCAGTCTATAGTATATAAACTATACCTCAGTAAAGCTGTTTAAGAAAACAGAGCCAGTCCCTGCTTTCTTGGGAGTTTTTGATAGTGGGCTAGATGTTCATTAATCAAATAATCAAATAATCACACAAAGAGTGTGTATGATTGCTGTGAAGAAAAATATAGTGCCCTATAAGTGTGTCTGGGGATGGGGCAGACCTCAGCTAGCCTGGCAGGTCATGGAAGGCTTCCCCAGGGAGGTTATGCTGACCTGGAATGAGAAGCAAAGGAGGGAAGGAACCAGGCGAAGGGGACATGGAAGGAATGCTCCTCGCAGTGGGAATAACATGTGCAAAGGTCCTGTGGTAGGAAAGCACAGAGATCACTGGGAAAGAGAAAAGGAATGTGGCTGTAGTGTCAATGAATGTGAGGTAAGTCCAGGAGTAAAGTAGGGCCCAGCTGTGTAGGACTATGTAGGCCAAGGAAAGGACTTGAGACGTTATTGAAAGGTCCTAGTCTTGCGTTCTCCAACTCTTGGGCTGTTCTTTGACAGGGCTAGGTTTGTTAATGACCATGGGGTCCAACCAAAGCTGAGAGGAATGCCCCTCAGCTTGTGTCCTGGTATGTTAGCTCTCTGGTTTGAGCATCTCTTTGTCCCCTGGAAACCTGTCGACAGACCCTCTGTGGGTCCAGGTCTGGCTGTATTCAGCAGCTGTTCCCTAGCTGGGAAGAGGCTTTTAGCTTTAATAAAAAAGGGAGTAGAGATAAGAAGACCGCCTCGGCAGGGAGAGCAGCAGTGACAGGATGATTTAAATGGCCTCTCTAGTGTCATTTCTTCTGTGCAGACATCATAAATCAGATTAGCATTGGGCTCTGGTGGGGAGTGGAGCAGGGCTGGAAGCCAGTGGGGCAGCCTTGGAGGGTGGAGCCGGGGTAACCTACTCCTGAGGCTCAGCACCTGGCCCTGTGCTCTGGAGAAGGGCTGATTGGAGTGGCTCCCTGAGCTGGCTTTTTAACCCATTCTAAATTTTGGGGAAGAAATGAAGAGGGACTGAGAAGAAAGTAGAGAAGAGAGAAATGGGGGAGGGCAGGGGCAGGTGTGGAAAGTGGAGAGTTTGGGCCCCCACAGAACCAGAAGCAGCATTCTTCCACCTCACCACACTTTAATGTCGCCTTGGAACTGTCACGGATGCCTGGTACCACCTACATCATTTCTGAGCTCTGGTAGAGTCTGATGTGTGGCTAAAGCTAGGAAGGAATGAATTGGAGCTTGGCTTCCATCTTTAAACTCAAGAATGACAACATCCTAAACCACCACTCCCATCACAAGTGCTCAGGCCTGCCACATCGCTCTGGCCTCCTCTTGGAAGTGACCAGATTGAGGGGGTCAGAGTAGGAGTCCCTGAGACAGGTGTGAACAGAGGGGAACTCCCACCTGCCTCCCTTCTCTTACAGATCTCACGCCACTTGGGCAAGATGTACAGTGAGATGATCTTTGTCAATGGCTTCGTGCACTGCGACCCCCACCCAGGCAACGTGCTGGTGCGGAAGCACCCGGGCACAGGCAAGGCAGAGATCGTCCTGTTGGACCACGGACTTTACCAGGTAGAAGAGGCCTTCCCCACTGAGCCTCAGGGCCTTGGGGGTTAGAGCCCGCTGGACTTTTTGACTTGCCCAGAAGTGGGAGGCACATGTTCTAGGTAGCTGAAGAGGGCTGTGTCCTCTCCTAGGAGCTGTCATTTTGTGCAAGGCAGTGTCTCAAAAGCTCTCTGAGCTTCGGCTTCCTCCTCAGTAAGGTGGGGTTGATTTCCTTTCCTTCACAGACTGTCAGGAGGAGTAGAGGGAGATGTCTATGTGATTGTGCCCTCCCAGGGAACCTCAGGCCAGCTCAGACCCTAGGGAGTAAACTGTCCTATGCATGAGCTGTGAAATTCTGCCTCAAAGTTAGGGAGTTCACTGCCATCTGGGACCTGGGGCTTGGCTTGATGCCATGAGGCAGATGGTTCTGGGGAGGTGTCCCCAGTAGTCTTCTGCTCCTACCCCCAGGCCTCAAATCTTTGCCTCTTCTGAAGGACTCCATGCAGTAGGATACATTAGTTTGAGGTAGGCTAGCTATGGTCACACACGGCCCCAGAGTGAATGATGGCCAGGACAGAAGCTTTATTGCTTGCTTGTGTGGGTAGAGGAGGCTGCAGGGCTCTGCTTCCCAGGCCTCCATGGAGGTAGGGTGTTATCAGCCAGCGAAGGGGGGAGGGATCAGAGGAGCACGCATGGGGCATTTTTGTGGGCTGGACCTGAAAGTGGGGCTTCTGCCACATTCCATCAGTCAGAAAGTAGCCTGCACCTGGGGAGAAGAGAATATAGCTTTTGGTGGGTGGCCAGCAGTTCTTGCCACGTAGTGGCCTTGGGTTTGGGCCTTCTGGGATGGCTGAACTTTGGGGGAGAAGCGGACACTATGAGGAGGCACAACCCACAGGGGTCTGCACCTCCAGGAACTTGGGCCTTCAGAGGAAAGGAGGCTCAGGTCCTACCCCTGTGACTCCCACAGGTGCTCACCGAAGAGTTCCGCCTGGATTACTGCCGCCTCTGGCAGTCTTTGATCTGGACCGACCTGAGGAGGGTGGAGGAGTACAGCCAGCGCCTGGGAGCCGGCGACCTCTACCCACTGTTTGCCTGCATGCTGACGGCCCGGTCGTGGGACTCTGTCAACAGGGGCATCAGCCGGGCCCCAGTCACTGCCTCTGAGGTAGGGGGTGGCCTAAGGACTCTTTTAGCCTGGGCGGGCTGTGTGCGGGGAGGGGCAGAATCAGAGCTGGTACTGGACAAGGAGGGAGACGTCACATAGTCAGTGCCTTTGGATGGGAGGAGGGAAGGAGGGGTAGCTTCCGGATCCCCACCAGGGCTTACCAGTCTGGAGTGGAAACAGGGTCATGTAGCTATCATTGCCCAGACTCATGGCTTCTGCTCCAACCTGCTCACACAAGATTTCAGGCTTCCTCCACACCCACCCCCCTGAACCTGAGGGACTCCTTGGAGACTGTCTCGTAGACACATCTGGCAGCACTTCAGCTGTCCCCTGCCTGGTGCCATCCTGTCGGGGCATCAGAGGCTCTGCGTCGAGAGGATCCTTCTCTTCCCGTGTGGCACTCAGGTGGTGCTGGTCGTCCTGCTATCTTGCACACTTGCTAGCGAAATAGCTTTTCTGTCTTTATTTGTAGCTTATTTCTCCCCTGGATCCAGCTAAGAGTCTTGTGGAGTCTGGGCAGGGTACAGATCTGGGAAGCACCTTCTCCTGTGTTTGCACCTGCCTCTGTTTGGGTGTCAGAGTCTTCCAGGGGTGAGCTCTTTCTCCCTGGCTTGGGGTAGACTCCAATCCAGAATGTTTCTCTGTACCCCACAGACCTGACTTTTGTCTTCCTAGCCTATCAGTATTCCAAAGCTGTCCAGACTTGCCTGAGTCCACGTGGGGGACAGACAGGGGCTCCAGCTCACAATAAGGGCAGGGTCCTGATCATGCAGTGAGAAAGCTCTATGCTGTAGTTCTAGCACCTTCCCTTCCTAGTGGTGTGACCTTGGGTAGTTTTTATCACCTCTTTGAGCTGGGGTAAGCTGCTTACCCTGTCAGCTGCCTTGTGTGGCTTAGGGATGGCTGGATCCAGATTCTCAACCATGTCACCCAAGAGGTCACGTTTGCCCTCTCTTGGCTCCACTTTCCTCAAAACTGACATCATTCTCCAGCAAGCTTTGTGGCAAAGATGCCCACCCGCTGCCCTGGGTGTCTGTAGCTTTGAAGCTTGCCGTTGCAGATGAGCAGAGACAATCTCCCTCCTTTTGTAACACAGGGACAATCATTTCTGCTTTATCGATAGTGCATGTAAAATGCCTACCCATCCTTCCTGAAGTTCGTTCATTCAGCAAACATTTGTTTTTGCTGGACCATGGGCTACAGGTGGAGGATCCCGTGATGAACAGACAGGCTTTTCATGTAATTTACACTTTGGTTGAGGGAGACAGACAGTAAACAAGTGAACAAATAGGAAAATGGAATAATTGCAGGTTTTAGGTACCATGTAGGAAACAGGCAGGGTGCTGCGAGTGAGGAGCTGGAGTCAGTGTTCAGAGAAGACCCTGCTGAGACATTGACCTTTAAGCTGAGGCCTGAAGGACAAGAAAGGCATGGCCCCAGGAAAAGCTTGAAGGACGCTTCCCAGGCATGCCAAGTCTTAGGGGAAAGAAAGAGTGTGGTGTGGAGAGGAAGATGGTGGGATGAGAGGAATTTGAAACACTGGCAGATAAGGCATCACATAGGGCCTTATAAGCCACAGAAAGAAGTTTGGATTAATTCTCAGTATAAAGTGAAGCCTTTGACCAGCTTTACACAGAAGAGGGAGATGCTTAGACTTGCTATTTTTAAGTGTCTCTTTTGAGTGGGTGAGGTGAGCATGGTGATCATTTAGGAGGCTGGGCCAGGACAACAGGACAAGAGATGACAGGGGCTCAGACTGTCATCTCCTGGTGGCAGGAGAGGCAGAGAAGAGCAGGTGGAGCCTTGGCAATGGAAGGTGAGACTGAGAGGGACTGTGGAGAAGGGGAAATGGTAGAGCCAAGGTTGTGCGTGAGCTTTGGGGATGTTATGGGGTGGGGTTTGGTGCTACTCTCTGACATGGGGAAGACTTTGGGAAAGATATATTTGGGTGGTGGTAGTTAACAGTTCTCTGGAACAGACAGAGATGTCTTGGGCAGTTAAGACTGGAGTTTGGGTTTGGCGCTCATAGCTCAGCGGCTAGGGTGTCGGCCATATACACTGGGGCTGGTGGGTTCGAAACCAGCCCAGGCCTTACAAACAACAATGACAACTACAACAAAAAAACAGCTGGGTGTTGGGGTGGGCACCAGTAGTTCCAGCTACTTGGGAGGCTGAGGCAAGAGAATGCTTAAGCCTAAGAGCTTGAGGTTGCTGTGAGCTGTGACACCACAGCACTCCACTGAAGGCAACATAGTGAGACTCTGTCTCAAAAAAAAGACTAGAGCTCAAAGAAGTCTATCCCTGAGATGCAAGTTTAGCTGTTTTAGCATATAGATAGTAAAGCCACAGGCTGGTACATGTTTAGTATATCTGCTTTTGTTAACTAAGAGATAATTTTGGTTTTGCCCTCTTACTAATTCATAAAGACCTACTTTGAATGCCAGTCCTTTGAAGAATTCTCCCTCCACGAAGTCTTCCCTCATCACCATTGGCAAGATTCATCCTTAACACTTGTATCACGGGACAAGTGCATCATAATCTCTTGCAGAGCAGTTATTTGTCTGCATGTCTTAACTTTCTAACTACATAGTGAGTGCCTAGAGGGCAGGGTTCCTGTCTTGTACATCTTTTTATAAGGTCTCAGCTGTCCTGGGATTGTCTGTAGTAGGGAAGTGTCTGTGTGGGTTTGGGAGACACTGACTCCGTTTGCTTGCTTTGGTCTGGAGCCCAGGTTGAGGGTAAACTTAGCCACTGCAACCAGCCCAGTCTCAGGGATCTGAAGGCTCTGCTTTTCTGAAACCTGCTCTCATTGAGAATCAGGGGAGCCTCCAACATTGTATCAGGTGTGATGTTTTCCCCAACTAAAAGTGACTTGAACGATAAGGAACTTTTTCTCTCCATGACAAGAAGCCTACAGGTGGGCAGGTCCAGGTTGGGGAACTCAGCAGAAGAGCATTCAGGGCTCTGGACTAACTATTGTGATTCCCTGGGTTTCCATCATGATTCCAAGATGACTGTGGTAGTTCTAAGCTTTATGTCTTCATCCAGTGGTGACCAGAGGCAAGAATAGGAGCAATTTCTTCTCTAACATTTTTTTTTTTTTTGAGAGAGAGACTCTTACTCTGTCTCCATGGGTAGAGTGCTATGGTATCATAGCTCACAGTAATCTCAAATTCCTGGGCTCAAGTGATCCTTTTGCCTCAGCTTTCTGTGTAGCTAGGACTACTGGTGCCCACTACAATGCCTGGGTAGTTTTTCTGTTTTTAGTAGAGACAGGGTCTTGCTAGTGCTCAGGCTGGTCTTAAACTCCTGAGCTCAAGCAATCCACCCATTTTGGGTTCTCAGAGTGCTGGGATTACAGGTGTGAGCCTGGTACCACACCTACTTCTATCATTTCTTTAAGCAAGAAAACCTTTCCCAAAGTCCCCCAACAGACTCCTCCTCCACCAATGGCTCATTGGTCATAATTGTGTCATGGGTTTGTGCCTGAACCAACCACATGGAAAGGGGATGAGAGCTCAGAGCCCGTCCTGGCTGAGATCAATCCAGATTCCCCTCTGGGGCTAGGGAGGGGTTCTGCCTCCCTGCATAGCATGACCTTAAGGGGTCACGTGAACAACATTTGGTCCTCTCAATAAAGGAGAATGAAAGTAGTGGCTGTCAGGTGGGCAGCCGACAGGTCTACTGCAGACACCCACCATCAGGATACATCTAGGCTCAAGGGCTTTGGGAGGGACCTCTGGGAGGTAAGCCAAGTGGGCGAAGGTGCTGAGAGGGGCTCTTGGCAGGCCAATGCCAATGTTGGTGAGCTGGGCCTTGGTCTGGCCTTCTCCCTCAAGCAGGGGGCCCTGATACCTCTTGGTGTCTGGCTTTGTGTGGAGATGTTCCAGTCCGATAGCTCCTGCCTGAGAGACATACCAAGTTTTGCAGTGACTTGGTTATCAGCAGTGCATACACGCCCCCTGAAAAGAGCATGCAGTCAGGTGGGAAAGCCTTTTGGCAGCACCGCTGGCCCCTTGTTATGACTTCTGTGGGCACTAAGCGCTTCCCCAACTTTGTCTCTGGTGATCCTGTGGGTCCTGCTGAGCCATGGGCACAGCAGCATTCCCAGTGTTGGGATAAGGTTGCTGAATCAAAAAAGATTTGGGGTCACACAGTCCTGCTGTGAGTTGGCAAGGAGGCATTGCTGGGGGTGAGGACGTGGGCCTGGAGGGCTGGATGCTTGGATTAAATCATGACTGTCTACTTAGCGGTGGATCTTGGGCAGGTTCCTTAGCTTCTCAATATCTCAGTTTCCTCATCTTAAATGGGGATAATGTCCTCAACCTGATAGGGCTGTGGTGAGGATTAAATACATTAATGCACTGAGTATTATCAGAGTGCTACCATCATCATTTTTCAAGAGGCTGAAAAGGGGTCAGAGCCCCACTGTCATATTCACGATCCTGGCTAGGGATAGTTACCTAGAGCAGTGATTTCCAGCTGGTGTGCCATGGCACACTGGTGTGTAGTGAGAGGATCTCAGATGTGCAGTGAGAATTTTTAAGGATCATTAATTAAATTACTTTTGAGAGAAGTTTAAAGTACAGTAAGTATATTCTTTTTTCTAACTCTTTTCTTGGAGCAACGTAATTGAAGTGTGCCATGGAGTTAACTATAGGTTCAACTGTACCATGAGATAAAACAGGTTGAAAAACACTGGCCTAGAGCCATGCAGAGCATAAGGACAGGGAAGCAAGGGGGAGCCAGACCCGAAACACTGGATGGGTGGAGGTGTGAAGCTGGTGTTAGGACCGTGTGAAGAGCTAGCCCTGCATCCTGCACTGGGGCATCATGACCTCGGCTATGGGTGGAATGAAGCAGGCTCCTGAGATGAAGGCAGTGGTTGTGGTAGGCAACGAAACATGGTCGGCAGTGAAGGCCTGGTGGAGCGCAGGGTTTGGGGCAGGACTTTGGAGTTGGGGTGGGGTCAGGGGCTCAGACCTATGAGTTGTACTAGCCTGCACTTGGCTGGAGAAGGGGGCAGACTTAGTTGGTACTGGTTTTCAGGGCTCTCCAGGGCTGGCCTAAAATAGGTGGCCAGCAAGGAAGCCCTGGAGAATAACCTGTGTCTCCTCGAGATGTGTTCCTGTGCTATGTCTAGTGTTTGCCAACATGCTGGGCTGAAATATCACGCAGGGATTTGTCAGGCTATGCAGCCCCTTGTGTTAAACTTTTCTTTGCGGATCACTCCTGGTGGTGCCAAGGCAGGTGAGCTTGAAGCTCTCTCTTAGAGCTTCCCACAGCTCCTCCATCACAGGTTGCCTGGGCTCTCGCTACCATGGCCCCACTGCCCACTCCCCACTCCAACGATACATTTCTGTCTCCTATTGCTGCCTCAGGATGCAGAGATCCGCAACAATGCAGCCAACTACCTCCCCCAGATCAGCCAGCTCCTCAACCACGTGCCACGCCAGATGCTGCTCATCTTCAAGACCAATGACCTGCTGCGTGGCATCGAGGCCGCCCTGGGCACCCGCGCCAGCGCCAGCTCCTTCCTCACCATGTCCCGTTGCTGCATCAGGGCACTGGCTGAGTGAGTGTGAATGATGGTCTCCCTTTCCCTGGCCTGCCCCAGGGGTCCTGCTTTTGCCTGTACTTTCCTGCACGAGTCCACAGCACCCGGCCTGAGCTTCCCAATCTCCAGAGCTCTCTGCAGGAAAAGTGAGGAGCAGAAAATAGCTCTAGGGAACTCACTGATGCCTTGGGGTGGTATTTTTGGGTGGTACAGAAAACCACCTATACTTGTTAAGTAGATTCTGGGTCTCCATCCTCTCAGTCCAGCTTTCTAGGTAGCTCTTACCCTCAGTAAAGTTTGAGATGCTTTCTTAGAGTTTCAGCTCCATGCAAGGGTCCCCTGGGCTTGGGGTCAGGAAGCCCTGGTGCCTATCTCACCTCTAACCAGTCCCAGGACGTGGCTCCCTAGGGCACCAGGCAGCCCTGTCAGTGTTCTTTCTTCTGCAGGTGTGACTGTGATTCAGGGACGTGTGGCCAGCAGGCTCTCAGGGTCTGAGATCCTCTTAGGTGCCCCAGCACCTTTGGGGTATTAATGAGGAAGGGAAGTGCGCTTCCTCAGAGAGAGAGAGTTCCAGGAAGTGAAGTTCTAGGACCTTCTACTGAATGTGGCAAATACATTGGAAGGGCTGTGCTCCGGCTGAATATCCTCCCCCATGAGAGGAGGCCTAACTTATGGTCAGTGCCCAGCCTGTCCATCCTAGGCAGAGACTGGGTCATCCTGGGAAACTATCTGGTGAAGGGAGATGGGCAAATGTACCATGTACCCGCTATCAAATATTGAATTAGTTTGCAGCAAAATATACTGTATGCCGAAAGGGCCTACAGTGATTTATTCTTCCTTTGAGGGCTTAGGAAATGAAGTCTTGAATAGGTCATCATCATAAACACCAATTTTCATCATGTTCTTTGGTTGGTGTAGAAAGGATTGAGCTGGCATGAATCCTTAATGGCTTTAGCCACCCAGGACCACCTGACCAGATTTTCAAGTGATTCTTACCCTCAGAAAGTTTGGAAAGGCTTTGATTATATCTGAGTTTGGGGGATTCTGGATTGGCATATATTAACTATACTTTTACTATACTATACTATACTTTCTGTCAAAACTTTGATGCCCTATGAAACAACTTCTCTTGATTATCCCACTTACGTGAAAAACTCTTTTCTGATATTTGAATTCTTCTGATCCCTGGTTGGGCAATGGTGTGATCGTGTAACCAAGAGCAGTCCCCAGGGGCAGGGAGCCAGTGTTTTGGCCATAGCCACTCTATTTTTATGAATGGTTCTGAGCAAGTATTTCTTGCCTTTTTATGTCTTGTCTCTCTTTTCTTCTTTCCCTTCCTACAGGCACAGGAAGAAGAATACCTCTTCATTCTTAAGAAGGACACAGATCTCTTTCAGCGAGGCCTTCAGCTTGTGGCAGATCAACCTTTATGAGCTGGTGCTGCGTGTGAAGGGGTTGAGGCTTCCCAGCTGGGCCGTGGCCCTGCTCTGCTGGCTGTTTCCTGCTCCACACTGAGTGTACTTGCTGTCCTTCGGCCCTTCATGGTGTCCTTTCACTCCTTATTCCCTGTTTTTGCTGTATGGTGGCCTGCAGCCCCAGGGTCATTGTCCAGGGTGCTGCTATGTTCCACCTCTGGAATTCCACTCCCACACTGCAGCCGTGTCTCAGGGCCTCAGGCTGAACTGTGGAATGGCTTTCTCGCCTTCTGCAAGGGAAAGACTCAGCAGTCTACTTTCCCACCCCTGGAACGTGCCATTGGGTCAGATTTCCTCGCTTCACTTCCATCAACCTTTTTTATTGTCAGGATGGACCACACGTGCCACTGAAGGTGCACTGAATGTATAGGACATTTGATTTTGCTGGAGGTGAGCATGGTCTCTGAACTCGCCAGAGAACAGTTCCCGCTCTTTGCTGTATCAGTCCCCAGAAGTGTCATACCCTGGTGAGGTGGCTTGGCCTCTGAGGGCAGACTCTGTTGTAGCCATGAATTCACTGCTATGACAGTGATTCCTTTGGTGTTTTATGTACTGTGTTTCAATAAAAACTACTTCAGGTTTTCATCCTAGCTCATTTGCCCCCCCAGCGGCCCCCAAGTACCTTTTCTTCTTGAGTGTGCCCTGGTCCTTTCCAAGGGCCCTGGGTTCCTCTTGGTTGCTGCTTCCTTGGGGCTTCCCAGGGAGAGCTGCAGAGGATGAGTTCATGGTGCGAGTTTTATTTATTTATTTTGCAGTTTTTGGCTGGGGCTGGGTTTGAACCTGCCACCTCTGGCATATGGGGCTGACGCCCTACTCCTTTGAGCCACAGGCACTGCCCTGGAGTTTTATTTTGAATTGCAAGCGAGTCCACACTGCCCACTAGATAAGAGCGGATCTGAATGACGAGTGCCATTGTGATCTTTTGCTTGGCATCTTATCTCTATAATCCTTCCAACCTGTAGGGCCACTTCCTAATTCTTGGAGGTTTCTTTCACTTTCCAAGACTCTGAGACCTTGGTTGGAAAAGCTGACTGAGAAGCCTAAGGCCAGGAACTCAGTGTCTCAGCCAAAACCTTGGACTTTGGTTCTCCCAGGTTCTCACCTTATTTCCCATGACCAGGGTACCTTCCTTGTTCTATGAATTATTTCCTGATTTATCCTGACTCACTTGGTTCTTATTCACTGACCTCAGTTTCAGGCCTGGGATTCTACTGGATCCCCCCATCCTTCAGAGGCATTGGTCCTGTTGCTGACACCTTGGTCACTGTGGCTAGGTGGCTACTCCAAACCCAGTGCCACGTGTCTGTTTCCACTCCATTGCCTACTGCAGCCTGGTCATTGGCTTCTCTTTCTGGGACACCCCCAGATTCCTGCTCTAATTCCTTTGGGTGGTCTTCAGGCCCCCGAGATCCTAGATCTCACTGAGCACCTGTGCTTCACATCATTGTATTTGGATCTCTCTGATTTTATATCACCCCATTCATAAGGGCAGGAAAACCCAAGTTTTGAGCCTCATTTATTGTTCTTTTTATTCATAATACAACAAACAAGTTTTCTAGTGACCAAAAACAATTCACAATCTTTTTATTTCCTAAAAGAATTAACTGTTCTTAGTGACCAATTAGATGAATCCAGGGACCTGAGAGTAATTTGCAATATCTGTTGTTAATCATGAGGGTGCATGCTGCATATTATATTTTATGGTGTCTTTTATAGCCACTGAAGTAAATATAAATGTCCTTTCATTCAAGGTAATGGTTACTTGCTTTTCATTTTTGATGTAAAGGTCAGCTACCTGCTGCCTTGGGATCAAAAACATCAGCATGTTGCCTCTGGGCCCAGCACCCAGAACAGATATACAGGAAGAGCAGAAGAGGCAAGAATTGGGGGTGTAGGGCAGTTTGAGAATAGGAGGAGAGTAGATGGATATTTATTTTGTACCTTCCACATGTGAGAGGTCTTTAGGGTCTAAAGATAATGCTATATCATTGAGATGTCCTATCAGCTCTGTAGGGGGTGGTCATTGGCCTCATTTTAAAGAGGTGAATCGGGGCTTAGAGAGGCTTCATACTTTGCCTGCAGTCACACAGCTGCTAAGTGGTGTCCCGTGCTTTGTTTTTTACTCCACAGTGTTATACAGCTAGATTGCACCTCAACCTTGGATTGTCTTATGTGCCTGAGTTGGGTCTCAACTGTGCCAGTTTTAGAAGAAATTATATTTCCATGCGAGGTGGAGGGGGGAAAAGGAGCAGATGGGTAAAGAAGACAAAAAGTCCTGAAAAAAGCAGACTATGTCTGAGTCAGACCTGGACCTCTATAATCTGCACCTCTTGGAGTTAGTGCAGACTCTATAGGCTTAAGGGCACCATTCACCATAATACTTTCCTCACTTCAGATACAAGCTGCAGGCTTGGGGGTCCCTCGACCATCTGTAATTCTGACCAACTGCCTACAAATTCAATGGTTCTCATAACCCCCTCATGTTTGATAATTTGCTAGAATGATTCCCAGAACTCAGGAAAGCACTATCTTTGTGATTACGGTTTTCTTATAGAGGATACAACTCAGACCCAGCCAAACTCGAGAGACATGCAGGGGAAGCCTGGGAGGGTTGCACATGCAGAGCCTCCGTGTCTCTTCCTGTGGAATCAAAGTGCATCACGTTGGTCAATGCATTGGTGTGTTCACTAAGGTTTGCGCACCATTACGTATGATTGACTGACTCATGGGCCCCAGGAATGAGCTCACTCTCCAGCCCCTCAACACTCTATAGAGGTGGCGGGGCTGATTTCTCCCCATCCAGAGTCTTGTGATCCACGAGCACTCCATAAATAACAAAGGCACTCCTATTACTTAGGAAACTCTTAAGAGGAATTAGGAAAAAGACAAGACTAATTATTTTGTAGCCACTCTAGTGTGTTCAAGCCTTCTGCTTGCTGGGGTGAAATTGTCTCTAGTCCAGATCCGTAAGACAACATCTGTCCTGAGTCTCCTTGTGTGCTTCAGAGACAGCTCAGACGAGCTTCTATGTGGCACCTTCACCCCACTTCCTTTTCTTTCCTGTGGAGCTTGCTGTGCGGATTGGCCATTGATTTGGGTTTGGATGCAGCTTGCAGATAAAAATCCTGTGATTCCTTCCTGCCCTGGCAGTGAGTGCCCATCAGGAAGGCACCACTAACTTACTTTAAACAGCATTTTCTCTTCTCTAACACCTAGATACTTCTTATTTAATTTAGGTGTTGTCTTTTTTGATTTAGGCAACGTGGAGGGAAGAAGAATTCTGATTCTGTGGCCCATTTCCCCAGAGCCTCTCAGATAGGTGCCCTACACATAGTGGCTCTACATGTCCTGGCTCATAGCAGTGTGCTCGGTATACACACACACCCCTTTAGAATCACAGCTGCTCTGTTATTTTCAGGGGTGTCAAAATCTCTGTTTTTGAAAAACTATATGCCTTATCTGTCAGATTAGTTCCTGCAGCGTTCCTAGCCCACTCCCAGGATCAGAGGGGTTCTGTTTCAGCGTTATAGGCTGCCCAGAGTCTTCCTACTGCAGTGGCAGCGCTCCAAACGACATTTCAGAAAAACAAAAGGGGCTCCAAGAGGCATCCAGTGAATCCTGGGGAGCGAGACTTGGGGGGTTTGGAATGACCCTCAACACAGGCATGTGTGAGAAGAGTCTTAAAGGGAGCCACGCAGACTTGGGCCTTGAGTGGCCAGGAAAGGTGCAGCCACGAGGAGCTAGGAACCAAGTTGGGAGCTGGTGATTGGGCAAGATCTTGACAGATGATGAACAGAGCTGCAGAGGGTGGCGTATTTCTGGCAGCCTGGCCTGTTGGAGCATTGTATAGGTTGGGCTGGATCAGGAGGGCCCATGTTTAACAAGAGGCCGTGACTGCCAAGTGACCAGATGGCCAATGCTACTGATAAGTGGGCAAAGCAGAGCTGCAGGAGACCCTGCACCCCACAAGCCTGAAGTCTGCAAAAGATTTTGGTAACAGCCAAAAAAGTTTGGTAAAGAGGATTTGCTAAAAAAGCCTCCACTCTTGCTTCCTTTCCTCCTCCTCTCCCTCCTTTTTTTTCTTCCTTTTTGTTCCCCTTTTTCCTCCCTTCCTTCCTCCCTGCTTCCTTCTCTCTCCCTGACTCCTTGTTATAAATCTGCACAGACTGGGTGCTCTCTTCTTTCCTAAGGGAAGGATGGGATCAGCCCTCAGAAGAGTAAATGATAAGCCCAGGGCTATAATTGTGATGTACTTTTTCCTGTGGTCAGTGCATCCTGGCCTGGGTTACTTGGCTTCTCTGGAAGCTGCTTTGGCCCTGCCTTTGGTAGGCTCCCCTCCTAGTCAGGTCGCCCTGCCCCTGGCCAGCACTGCTGGGGGAAAGCAAGGCTGTTTCCCAGTTCTGCCTTTGGCTTGCTCGTTTCAGCCTTTCTGATGTTTCTTTCTCTTTTTTTCTTTCCTGCTGTGTGTGAGAGGTGAGGATAGGCTCTTAAGACTGGTAAAATGACGGGTCTTAAGCCTGCCTGACCCCTGCCATTGCTGCTTCTATTTCCTTGTCCCATTGCCCTTCATGTTCATTCTAGAGCAGAGCCTCTGAAACTTTCACCTTAAAATGAATAACCTGGGATCTTGTTAAAAGAGAGGTTCTGACTCAGTGAGTGTGAGGTGGGGCCTGAAGTTTTGCATTTCTAACAAGCTCCCAGGGGAGACTGAAGCCGCCGGTCCTGGAATCACATCTGCAGAACCACTGACCTGCATCCTTGCCATCCAAGTGTCATCCCATGGGCCCTGGCATTCTTTTGATTGTGTTTTAACTTTTTTTTTTTTTTGAAATAACTTTAGATTTACAGTAGAGTTACAAAAAATAGTATAGTAGGTTCCTGCAAACCTTTCAGCTACTTTTCCCTAATGTTAACATCTTACATAACCATGGTACCTTGATTAATAAGAAATTAGCATTAGAATACCACTGTTAGCCAAACTCCAGGTGTTATTCTGTTGTCACCAGTGTTCTCTCTGATATCCTGTGTCCCGGGATCCCATACAGGTTGCCGCCTTGCATTTAGTTGCCACATCCCCTTACTTTCCTCTGGTCTGTGACACCTATAGAAGGCCACCAACTACTTCCATCATCACCTGGCCACCAGCCCAGGTGAGAGTCGCGTGCCCTTGCTGGGCACCAGTGTGTGACTGCCAGATCAGGCTGGTTCAGAGGGCTCCAACCTCTGATTTTCCCTTTCTTTCATGACCTTGACACTTTTGAAGAGTAGTGGTCAGGTGTTTTATAGACCGCCTCTCAGTGTGGGTTTGTCTGGTATTTTCTCATGTAGATTGGGGTAGGGGTTTGGGGGAAGAACATAACACAGGTGGCCCTCCCATCACTTCCTACTTGAAGAACATGATATCCTCATGACTTCTTTTTTTTTTTTTTTAATATCTTATTCTGTCATCCTCAGTAGAGTGCTATGGCATCATAGCTCATAGCAACCTCAAATTCCTGGGCTCAGGCGATCCTCTTCCCTTAGCCTGCCAAGTAGCTGGGAGTACAGGCACCTCCCACGATGCTTGACTAATTTTTCTATTT